TGGGCACCAAGTGACCCCACCCTCCTCAGCCACATTGATAATATGGGCACCAAGTGACCTCACCTTCCTCAGCCACAATGATAATATGGGCACCAAGTGACCCCACCCTCCTCAACCACATTAATAATATGGGCACCAAGTGACCTCACCCTCCTCATACACATTGATAATATGGGCACCAAGTGACCCCACCCTCCTCATACACATTGATAATATGGGCACCCAGTGACCTTGCCCTCCTCATACACATTGATAATATGGGCACTAAGTGACCTCACCCTCCTCAGTTACATTGATAATATGGGCACCCAGTGACCTCACCCTCCTCAGCCACAATGATAATATGGGCACCAAGTGACCTCACCCTCCTCAGCCACAATGATAATATGGGCACCAAGTGACCCCACCCTCCTCAGCCACATTGATAATATGGGCACCAAGTGACCTCACCTTCCTCAGCCACAATGATAATATGGGCACCAAGTGACCCCACCCTCCTCAGCCACATTAATAATATGGGCACCAAGTGACCTCACCCTCCTCATACACATTGATAATATGGGCACCAAGTTACCCCACCCTCCTCATACACATTGATAATATGGGCACCCAGTGACCTTGCCCTCCTTATACACATTGATAATATGGGCACCAAGTGACCTCACCCTCCTCAGTTACATTGATAATATGGGCACCCAGTGACCTTGCCCTCCTCATACACATTGATAATATGGGCACCAAGTGACCTCGCCCTCCTCATACACATTGATAATATGGGCACCAAGTGACCTCACCCTCCTCAGCCACATTGATAATATGGGCACCAAGTGACCCCACCCTCCTCAGCTACATTGATAATATGGGCACCCAGTGACCCAGCCATCCTCAGCCACATTGATAATATGGGCACCCAGTGACCTCGCCCTCCTCATACACATTGATATTATGGGCACCAAGTGACCCCACCCTCCTCAGTTACATTGATAATATGGGCACCCAGTGACCCCACCCTCCTCAGCCACATTAATAATATGGGCACCAAGTGACCTCACCCTCCTCATACACATTGATAATATGGGAAACAAGTGACCTCACCCTCCTCAGCTACATTGATAATATGGGCACCAAGTGACCTTGCCCTCCTCATACACATTGATAATATGGGCACCAAGGGACCCCACCCTCCTCAGCTACATTGATAATATGGGCACCAAATGACCTCACCCTCCTCAGCCACATTGATAATATGGGCACCCAGTGATCCCACCCTCCTCAGCTACATTGATAATATGGGCACCAAGTGACCTTGCCCTCCTCAGCTACATTGATAATATGGGCAGCAAGTGACCTCACCCTCCTCAGCTACATTGATAATATGGGCACCCAGTGACCTTGCCCTCCTCATACACATTGATAATATGGGCACCAAGTGACCCCACCCTCCTGAGCCACATTGATAATATGGGCACCAAGTGACCTCACCCTCCTCAGCCACAATGATAATATGGGCACCCACTGACCAAGCAATCCTCAGCCACATTGATAATATGGGCACCCAGTGACCTTGCCCTCCTCAACCACATTTATAATATGGGCACCCAGTGACCCAGCCGTCCACAGCCACATCAAACATGTATGGAACTGATTGGCTGATAACCTGCTCAAGGAACTCTCAGTCAATGAATGCCATCAACTTTGGACAAAACAGACACTGACACAGTAGACCAGGAGAGCCATGAGCTATGTCAATCACCTTGACATTAAACTGAAGGCATGGCCCCTGGACACGCTAGTCAACCTAGACACTATAGTGAGCTGTTTGTCCATGCTACTTAAAATGTCCCTTTAACAGCTATGTGGTTCCCCTACCTCCAGATACAGTTCTCTCACCAGGCTGGTGGGCATGGCTAGAATTGTAAATAGTTTTAACATGATGGGTTTCCTATTTAGATTTGATATCTCCCTCCTAAAACTGTCAGAGAGCGTGGAATACAGCGACACCATACAGCCAGCATGCCTGCCCCCTGCCGGACTCATTCTATCACATAACACCGCCTGTTACGTTACAGGATGGGGTAACCTACAGAGTAAGTCTAACACTTCTATTATTACAATATTCTTATTTGTAAAATGCCAGCATATTGCTGTGTGACATAAATCAAACTACTCCCAGCCAGCTAGAGGTCTGGAAACCAAACGCTTGTTTTTTTAAATAAATACATTTTAAATTTGATGCAGATATCCATCATCTCAGGATAGCTATTTCTCTGAGTTCACAGAACACGCCTGCTGCTTTTGACTGGCCAGTACTGATAATATTTATGTGATTATTATTTCAGCCAATGGTCCGTCCCCAGATCAGCTGCAGCAGGGGCTCTTACTAGTGGTTGATCACGCCACCTGCTCCCAATCTGACTGGTGGGGCAAAACTGTGAAGACCAACATGATTTGTGCCGGTGGAGATGGAATCATCTCCAGCTGTTACGTACGTTCTTCTTGTTTAAAGTTTATTATATGGTTACATTGCTAAATGTGCAAAAAAAATATAATCCCATCCAGTTCTGCCAATAATTAATTTGGATTGTTTGTTGCTCCCGTCTGTAGGCGGCAATGTATGTTACACTGGGTAGCCTAAAACAGATCTGAAAGAATGAGAGGGTTATTCACTAACCAGTGAGCATGTTGCTATACAAAACAAGGATAGAATAACTCAACTATCAACTCCCCACAGTACCAGTTTAGAAAATAAACAATTCCTATTTATACATAAGGATTGGCAGAACTGTAAACTATCATTATGTACATTTTATTGGAGTGGGGTTAGTGATTTAGTACTGTTCCTGCATTCACAACATGTTATTTGCGTTTAGACTTTCCTTATAGAGCTTTGTATTGAATTTCTCAGCCTATGACTAATTGTATTCAAGTTTCCAAGCTTACGACTAACAACCCACTGCTCATCACAAGCCCATTCATTCCCCCTGGCAGGGTGATTCTGGAGGACCTTTGAACTGCAGGAATTCAAATGGTGCCTGGGAGGTCCACGGTGTGGTCAGTTTTGGTTCCTCTCTTGGCTGTAATTACTACAAGAAGCCCTCTGTCTTCACCAGAGTGTCCGACTTCAACAGCTGGATCAGCAAGGTAAGAACGGGTCCATCAATTAGGAACGTTCACTAGTGAACATTATACAATATGACTTGACTGGTGTATAGTCGCCATTAGGGCAGTCGGAACCTTGGACAAAACCTCCCCCCCCCCACATACTTATCCCAATAACACGCTGACACTAGGGTATATGGGTCAAATTGTCCACAGCTTTTATTACACAAATATATAATAATCACGATAATAAAATTAATAATAACAATCATAATAATGATAATAATTTAACATATAAACATGGGTCATTGCCCCCATACTCCGCCCTCGCATCCGTATCCTTCTTTTAATATAAAAGGCATTGACCCCAACATAACTAACACATATATATAACAATTTTCAACCTTACTCCAACATGAACAAATTTAAGTGCTAACCATAAGTAACCACGGCAGGGGTATACCCGGATACCCCTACCCCACCAGGTTCTGAGCCACCTCCAGAACTCAAAGTGGTACAAGGCTGGGTCCATAGGTAGTCCAGTAAAAGAACAAAAGGATTTGAACAAACAAAATGCCACACTGCATGTGGCACTCAGTAGCCACAATTACATAAAATAAAATGACAACAAAATATAGGTTTTTCATTACATGTGCTGCCTGCTATATCAAAGGGCAAGTCATGTTGTCAAATCCTATTGGCACAGCGGGTGATGTCCCAATAAGACACAGTATAAAAGTATTGTCGTGTGTGACTGACACTGTGCAGTGTGTGCGCCCCTAATCTCAGTGCAGAAATGGGCATTGTGAGAGTTACACACCTGGGCAACAGTTGCCATCATTAATTCAGCCCCTCTCCTGTTAAAGATATGCTGGGAGAGGTGCTGGGGAGAATGTGTGATCCTCTCTTTCCAGCTTCTATCCAGGCATGTCAGTAATGGGAGAGAGGATGAATTAATGATGGCAGCAGATAACGTATATCTGACCTTCAATCTCATGGTTTATTATGAAATCTACTTAGCAGCATAGTTTTCCCATAATAAATACAGCATTATATAATGCCTGAAAGACATGTAATAAAGTGTTTATAAGCTTGTATACTTTGCCAAATGATTTATGCTTCTAATTTTCCCTTGTGTCATGTTTTCCAGACAATCGCGTCCAACTAAAAACCTCAAGGGAATCCTCTACCAGTATTTTGTCAAGTATAAACTGTGAATATTATAAAATCCTGTGATTTATTAAAAACACATGTTCCTTAAATGGAGTAAACGTTCTGTGTTATTTTTGCTGCATTGTACATGATGTCTATTGTCTAACCTGCTGATATAGTTATTCAAAAAAGTGTGACTTGTTAAGAATTCAAAGTCAATTGAAAGTGAATTTATAATATTAGGGCCACAATAGCCTAAGGGAAAATGGAATTAACTTAGAGTCGCCATTAAAGAAAATAAAAAAATAAAAACGAATTTTGTAGTAAAATGTACTATTTTTCTCTGGATGCACACCCTAATGTAATGTGTTACATACACCTATGGGAACAGAAATTGCTACAATGCCAGTTGGTGAAGAGTTCAGATTGGACTGCAAACACTAAATAGCAAACAGATGGCCATTCCATTCCCAGTCTGTACCCAGCTCCTCATCTCTTTATAAAGTCCCCATGTTCCCAGTCTGTACCCAGCTCCTCATCTCTTTATAAAGTCCCCATGTTCCCAGTCTGTACCCAGCTCCTCATCTCTTTATAAAGTCCCCATGTTCCCAGTCTGTACCCAGCTCCTCATCTCTTTATAAAGTCCCCATGTTCCCAGTCTGTACCCAGCTCCTCATCGCTTTATAAAATCCCCTCATTCCCAGTCTGTACCCAGCTCCTCATCTCTTTATAAAGTCCCCATGTTCCCAGTCTGTACCCAGCTCCTCATCTCTTTATAAAGTCCCCTCGTTCCCAGTCTGTACCCAGCTCCTCATCTCTTTATAAAGTCCCCTCATTCCCAGTCTGTACCCAGCTCCTCATCTCTTTATAAAATCCCCTCATTCCCAGTCTGTACCCAGCTCCTCATCTCTTTATAAAATCCCCTCATTCCCAGTCTGTACCCAACTCCTCATCTCTTTATAAAGTCCCCATGTTCCCAGTCTGTACCCAGCTCCTCATCTCTTTATAAAATCCCCTCATTCCCAGTCTGTACCCAGCTCCTCATCGCTTTATAAAATCCCCTCATTCCCAGTCTGTACCCAACTCCTCATCTCTTTATAAAGTCCCCATGTTCCCAGTCTGTACCCAGCTCCTCATCTCTTTATAAAGTCCCCTCATTCCCAGTCTGTACCCAGCTCCTCATCTATTTATAAAATCCCCTCATTTCCAGTCTGTACCCAGCTCCTCATCACCACCCCCGGGTTAGCCCCACAATATTGAGAATTTTAACAAAAGATTATTCCATTTGTTAGATCTTTGTTAGATCAGGTTTGATCAACAATTTTTTTCGTTAGATCTTTTCTAAAATATGCGATATTAACAGTCATTGTCAGGGGGTGCTAACCCGTAGCCAGCCCCCCCATAACAAAATTTTTTAGAAAATATTGTTGATTATGATAGCTCTACATTAGATCAGGTTTGATCAGGCAAATTTTTTGTTAGATCTAGTCTAATTACTGAGATATTGCATATATAATTAGGGGGGCTGGCCCCCCCTCAACTGAAATTTGGACAAAATGTTACTGATTTTGGTAGCTATTCGTTAGATCAGGTTTGATCAACTGTTTTTTTCGTTAGATCTATCACGCAAGAGGCGGTATTCACTACTTAACTTTGTGGGCGTGACTATGGGTTAGACCCCCTCAAGTGAAATTTTAATTTTTTTTTATTGATTTTGGTAGATATTCGTTAGATCAGGTAAGCTCAACAGTTTCTTCCGTTAGATCTATCACACAAGAGGCAGTATTCACTACTTAACTTTGTGGGCGTGACTACGGGTTAGCCCCCCTCAAGTGAAATTTGATTTTTTTTTTTTATTGATTTTGGTAGTTATTCGTTAGATCAGGTTTATTGACTTGGCAAATGCATTTTTCAGTGTCCCCCTGGCTCCCGACAGTCAGTTTTTATTTGCATTTACACATAAACACAAGCAGTACACTTGGACAGTATTGCCACAGGGCGCACAAAACTCACCGACTATGTACAGCATGGCTATGGCCCAGATTCTTGAGGAGTGGAAAAGGCCAAATAACGTAATTTTTTTGCAGTATATCGATGACCTTTATATTAACCCATGCAGCAGAAAATGCTACATCTGTCCTTACACAGACCATATACACACCGCATGATATCAACAGCATCTGTTGCCATCTTACTGTTGCCATGTTAATGCCCCCCATGTTACTGTTGCCATGTTACTGCCCCCCATATTACTGTTGCCATGTTACTGCCCCCCTATATCACTGTTGCCATGTTACCGTTGCCATGTTAATGCCCCCCCCATGTTACTGTTGCCATATCACTGTTGCCATGTTACTGCCCCCCTTCCATATTACTGTTGCCATGTTACTGCCCCCCATATTACTGTTGCCATGTTACTGCCCCCCATATTACTGTTGCCATGTTACGGCCCCCCTATATCACTGTTGCCATATTACAGTTGCCATGTTACCGTTGCCATGTTAATGCCCCCCATGTTACTGTTGCCATATCACTGTTGCCATGTTCCATATTACTGTTGCCATGTTACTGCCCCCAATATTACTGTTGCCATGTTACTGTTGCCATGTTAATGCCCCCCATGTTACTGTTGCCATGTTACTGCCCCCCATGTTACTGTTGCCATGTTACTGCCCCCCTATATCACTGTTGCCATGTTATTGCCCCCCATATTACTGTTGCCATGTTACTTCCCCCCTATATCACTGTTGCCCCTGTGAATGGGGGTATGGAGTATCTCAGTGTTACTTAAATGTTACTGCCCCCAATATTACTGTTATTTATACATGTTACTGCCCCCAATATTACTGTTGCCATGTTACTGCCCCCCATATTACTGTTGCCATGTTACTGCCCCCCTATATCACTGTTGCCATGTTACTGCCCCCAATATTACTGTTGCCATGTTACTGCCCCCCATATTACTGTTGCCATGTTACTGCCCCCCTATATCACTGTTGCCATGTTACTACCCCCAATATTACTGTTGCCATGTTACTGCCCCCCTATATCACTGTTGCCATATTACTGTTGCCATGTTACTGCCCCCAATATTACTGTTGCCATGTTCAGGGCCGTCTTTAATGAGGGGCAAAAGGGGCAGCTGCCCCGGGCCCAGTTACTCCTGGGGGCCCTAAGGCAGCTGCCCCATGGGCCCCCTGCAGCACCTGAGGTAATCAGGGGCCACAGCCCTTTAATACTGCTCTGGACCGGGCCCTTGTAATATGGGGGTTGGCTGAATACAAACACACAGCTAGCCCCTCACACACTGCCCTGTGATCCCTTTTCTTCTCCGTGGCATGCTGGGAGGCAGTGAGGTCAGATCACTTCCTCCTCAGTGCCGCTGGGGAGGGGGCACACACCACACGGAGGAGGATGCAAGCATTGTTGGGGAGAGGGACTGAGAAAGCTGATGGCAGACTCCCATCAGCCTGGGCCAACAAGCTCCCACTGGACCCCAGGGAAGCCACCTTTCTGTACCCAAAAGGTAAGGAGACAGGAGGGTGGCTAAATATGTTTTGTGTTTTTGTTTTGCTTATTTCTGATATCACTTTTATTCAAGTGTTGGTGTTTGTAATGTAA